AGGACTCCCCACCTGAAATGTCAGGCTGTCCCAGCAGTGAACAGGGCATGCAGCAGGCACTTGAAAAGTCACTGCTGGGAAGTAACTACACCAAAGAGCAGAAAGCTAACCTGGGGTTCGAGTGCCGCTACCTAGGAAAGGAAGGCAACACTCACAGCAACATCCCTGTGTCAAAATTAGCCTCTCTGTGGAACACAGACAGAGGGGGTTTGAAGCCAACTGAGGTTTATTGAAAGTCTTGCAAAAATGAGTTAAAATTGGATGCCCAAATCCCTTAGACTGCTGAGAAAAATCACAGCCAGGGATGTCCAGCAATTCTGGAGGGCTCTTGATACTTCACTGCGGTCTACAAGTTTGAGTGCATCCCCAAAAGGAGCTGAGGCCGCTCAGCACTTCACCCACAGGCCCTCTGTGAACAGAGTCTTCTTTCTTGTGGTCAAACAGGGGATATCTTGAATTTATGTCGTGCTTCTCCCCTTGTGAGCAAACAAAACAATTTCTATGAGTAATTCTACCCGCTAATTGCCAAGGAAAAGTCTAGTAACAAATGCTTTGCATTTTTGACAGGTCAGAGGCTTCCCTAAACAAAGTTGCTGTTTTATGTTTTCTAACAGCACATGTTCACATCCGGGGACCTCGGCAAATTCCAGTATGGATGAGTCTCTGTGGGAAATTGCTTTTCCAGTTTTTCTTGTTTTAACTGCTCCAGGAAATGAGTCTATTTTTACAACAACACTAAACAGCAAAATATGAAACCATTATCTGCTTCGTGGCAAGAGTTTCGGGTCAATTCTCAGGTAACTGTCATCTCCAGTGAAGTCAGTGGAGTTGTATCTATTTATGCAAGTCAGTGATCTGGCCAATCATGTAATTGGTTGATCAGTTACTAGAACATAGAGCTACCATTGGCCTAAGGAGTGTCCCATTTTCATACGTCTCAAAGTTCATCCAAGCCCTGATGTATCGATAAGTGAAGTATTCAAATATTATGGTCTGTAAAGACGATCATTAACTGCTGAAAGATTTAAGCATGAGCATTTTCTATGAACACCTACTTTGTCACTGAATGATCATTACATGTAGTATGTTTCCTGGATTCTTTTTTCACCTGCCAAATAAACCAGGGTGGGATTTTCAGAAGTGTTTAAAATGCTTTTCTTCTACTTATTTGTGATTGCTTTCAAGAATCAAGATGTTTTCAAAATCCCCAGGGGATTTCAAGTGCTATGGGCTCAACTGCATCTCTGGGTGCTTCTGGTTTTTGCATACCTGATCTGAACAGCTACTCTCAATTTCCAAGATGGACAGTAAAACCAGTTGCCTTCATTATGTAAGATCAAAGATAGCACATGGAGGCCAAAACACCGGGTCTCATCTTGGGAAGATGAGTGTGCAACACTTGCTACAAACTTGGCTCCTTATTTACCTGTTTGAGGGACTACTACTACTCACTCATATGTGAATTTCTTTTCTGTTAAAGCACACAAGTCAGGCTTTCTTTGTGTATTTTTATCTAAGATCTTGGAAGACATTTGGCATGCACAAGTATCAATCCAAACAGAAATTTTTAGATGCTAAAAACTCAAACCGAGTCAGATTTGATGGCCTGCTAATGAGTCAAATATAATAATGATTGGATTCCCCTCTAGGGGAAGAAGTAACACTGGAAGAAGGTGACACTGAAATCTTCAGTGACAGAAATTCTATCACCAGGATGTTGCCAGAATTCCATCTACTGATCATGAACAAGACTAAGAGTTAGCACTTCCTTAGTTTCAGGTTGGGAACTACGTATTCGACTTTCCACCTAACTGAAAAGCTCACCAAACGTCACTCAAGAGACTAGCATATGGAAAACAAACTTAGAGACAATATCTAAGGAAAACAGTTTCCAACCTATGACTTGTTCTTTGATTTACAACTGTGATTGCAGGCCCCACCTCAGAGTCATATGCCATAATAGGTAGCAGTTCAACGAGAACCAGCTGTAACTTTTTACGTGTTATAGTGATTCTGAGCTACTTCAGCACATAATTTAGCCTGATGCAGCAAATAATTAGAATGCCTAAAGGGAGAGGTAACATTCCACAACTGAAAAATGAATGACCAGCCTTTTGATCTTGTTCATTTTATTTTCTAATTCCTTTTTTCCTAAACTAAAAAGTGCTGTATTTCACATGAAATTCACTCTCACTATTTTTCCTCATCTCAAACTTGTCTATTATGGAGATGACTGTGAGTTCGCAAATTATATTCTCTGAGATACCTAAAAAGATAATCTTAAATGGGATCACTGGCATTAGTAATTGCAGTCCTGAATCTACCCACACCGGGAAAGTACTTTCCCGAAAAAGAACAAATATGTATTTCAAAATGGCAACCTCCATGGGAGTAGAAGAGAGTGGAATTCTCCCAGCTGTTTTTCTAGTTGTACGTTCTAGTCTTGTTACTTCATCTTTGGGGTTGCTTACAACATACTTCAACACTCTAAGAGCACAAAGACCCCCGTCCCACAACTGGGATCCTGTGTCAGGAAGGCACACCCTACTCAAAAAGAGTAATAAAGCATCAACTCTGCTCCATTTGCCTGAGGTCAATGGGATGTTTGTCCAAAGTTACAAGCGTGCTTAGGCACTGGTTTGAAGAAGGGCAAACACAGGCACCTCTTAAAGTGCTTTTCCACGTTAGGGCCTGGGAAAAAAAATTCAGGATTGGGCCCATGATAAAACCAGTTCCCTTAGGAAATGTTACCCACACCATAAAAGGAATGAATGACACTGAACTGAAGGGAAGTACAATGAAAATTGTCTACCGAATTTTTGAAAATTCCCATAAAATCCGAGACTTGATTTGTTCTATGTGCGTAATTTTCACTGTAAGTCACAAAAGGTTGACTCCTTAGAGATGCAGGAAATGACTAGCTCATGATAGCATAAAAGGCTGCGTAATTGCATGGGCAGAAAGCTGGATTTTTATCAGTCACTACATTCTCTGACGATATGGCAGTGGTTTTTGATCATGTATCCGATGCACAATAATTAGGCAAAATGACTTACCCTCAATCTTTTCAGTATTTAGCTCTAAGGGTGCAAGGATTCATTCTTGGAAAGGGAAGATGGTCGTGTGATTTAGGGCACTGGATGAGCACTCAGATCTGAGTCCTATCCCTGGTTCTGCCATAGCCTTGCTGTGTGACCTTGCACAGTCATTTCTCCATGCCTCGGTCTCGCCTAAAATGGGATAACAATAGTTCTTTATTTCAGAGGAGATATGAGTACAAACCAGTTCAAGACTGTGCCGCAGAGATGCTACAGCAAAGAATGGCACAGAAAAGCTCAGACATGGAATAATACCTTGCTATTAAAATGTGGGAAAACACACAGTAATTAAATGAAATAATAAATACAAAACATAGGCTGATTTTTGAGGAATGCAACATTGATAAGCTTTTCTCTGTTACCTGAAATTAAAGCAAACTTAAGTGGGATTCTTATGGGTTTAAACGATTTTTACCTGACTCTGTTTCTGAGATCTGCTAGTACTAGAAGCTGTGTATTAGAAACACCAAGAAAATTACTTCATTGACAACCTCCACATTGTTTCTGTTTTAAAGCAACCATGATTTCCAGCCCAAGAGAGGGTCAGATAAATATTCAGGGTAGGATTTTCAAAGCTATGGAAGGGGCCTACAAACATGATTTCCTTCAAATTACAGTAAAATATGAGCATGCAAATCTGAGGTAGCTTTCAAAGTTCATCTTTGCTTTTGGGTACACTTTCAAATTAAATTATAAATGGGGCCACTGATCTTAATTGAACTGTCAGATGTCTGGAATAGCTTCAATACCACTATTCCAGAGTTACGCTGTTGCTGGAATTGGACAGAGCTTTAGCAGGGAACCTTCAATAATGAGTATTTTTCCAAATGCAAAGATGAATCTTTTTCTCCCCACAAACACGCATGTACACAACAACAGCATTTGTCTTTCATGTGGGGGTCAGTTATGGGCCTGTAGGCCTGAGAGACAGGATCTCGGGGCACATGCCTAGATAAAGCAATTGATTTGGAGATAAACAGATCAAAGGCTGTTTTGTCAGGCAGGAGGAGAGAGAAGAGATATATGATGAGACAGATCCTAGGAAGGGAAAATCATTTGAGAGACAGAAACAGAGGGATGGGAAAGTCAGGCAGAGAATAGCTGGAAAGTAGACCACAGAAAGGCAACATGGACCCGAGGAAGACAGCCAAAAGAACCTCATAGCTGGAATGCTGAAGCCCGTTGGAGGGAGGAGACCCGTGAGATGCTGTTCCAAGCAGAGTAAAAAGCCTAAGCTCAAAGACACAGAAGTGCTGGAGCTGCCTAGGAACCTCCAGGGCTGGAGAGGAGCAACTGCCTGTAGTCACCGTGCACTGTCTAATAAAGCAGATGCCAAGCAGGACGGAGGACAGGAGAAAAGGAAAGCAAACTGGCATGTAATCCTTGATTTCACTCAACAAAAGCAACTGAAGGGCAGCTCTGGAAAGATGAAGCACAGAATTAAATGTAATGAATTGGCTAGAGAATCAGCGATCACGCACCATATTATAACACTGAGATTCTTTTCAGGCAGTCCACTACACATACACTTTCTGACCAGAAAAGACCACAAAAAGGATGAAATCAGACCAACAACTCCTGAATCTCTGGACAGAGGAAGCAACTTCAGAATGTAAATCAGAAAAACGTTTTACCCCCAAATCTCTACCTAGTATGTGCAAGGACAAAAACGACAAGGTGTTAAAGGATTGCATGGCAACGTGACTTACAACTACCATCTTCAACTCCTTCATTAAGTCCCCTACTAGCCCCCCACCCCACAAATAACAGAGATGTCAATCAGGCATCTTGCGGCTCCAATTGCTCACACCCTTCCCTGTAACACTCCAAATCTTGCACTTTAAAAGTCCAGATGGAGTCCACCTCCAGTAGACAGCAGAAGAAGATATGACACGGCATTCACAAATGCACAGAGAACTGTTTAATTTACAGCCACAATGGTGAAACAAACCATTTCAGAGCTTGGACATTCAAAGTTAAGTCTGACACTCATTCTTATATTCACTTATTGTGCTTAAGTATTAGAGAACACAGGATTACATTAACAGTACACGACAATCTGAGATCCCTGCAGGACCGAGTAGTGAAAGGGATGAGCAAGAATGAGGGACCAGCCCCTCAAGTGGTGTAAGCTGGTACAGCTCCATTGCAGGCAACGGAGCGATGGTGATTTACACCAGCTGAGGATATGGCCCTTGAAATGTCCAACTTAACTTTGAATTAATGTCTCCTGCGTCACAACCTTTAATGTTACTGTTCCTTCTGGTTCTATCTGCCACCTTGAAGAAGGACTAATACCATAGCCTGTAACGCTCAGAAGGCTGGCGGGTAGTATCTCAGCTGGACTACAGTAAATGACGCATATGTCATGACACTACTCCTTGTATTTTAAAAACCATGGACTGGATCCTCATCTGATGTAAATTAGCTTAGGGGCAGCTGAAGTCAAAAACATTTGCCAATTTATACTAGCTGAGAATATAGCCCTGAGATTTTTGTGTTTTCTGCTGCATGCCGTATAAACACGGTGCTGGAGAACAAAGACTCATGTGCGTTTCATTCCTGGTAATAACATCAACTCGAGACTACAAGTCTCAAGCAAACAACTACTGGAAAAGACTCCATTCGGTCTTCATTCTCTCCTGGTTTTCTGAATTTGGCGTAACACATTTATTTGCTGGCACCAATAAAATGCATGCCTCTCAGTTTGCTTTTTTTTCAAGACTTCAATATAGGGCCAGACTCACTCGCGATGTAAATCAGCAGAGCTCCATTATACTCAATGGACTCACTCCGGGGAAGCTGGCCCACAGATCTGAATGCAACCTTCTTGTGCCAGTGCAACCATAGGACTCTCAAAAGTTGTTTTGCAAATTATTCCACTTAAGTGACTTTGACATCCTTTCATACCTGCACAGTGTCTGAGTGGGTCACATAATGCTTTTCAACTACATGATTTTAATGGATATATGGTTTTTTTCATTAGATATCTTTTAGACAAAAAAGGAACGGAGCAACATTATTGGCATCCCACTGAAACATAAATATATAAATTACATTTTATACACTTTTTTAAACGCAGACACATACATTCATGTGCATAACATTGTGAACAGTACACTTAGTGGAAAACAAGCACAGACAATCTTAGTTAAAGGTATTTCCAGTTTTGGTGCTCAACAAATACACTGGGAAAATGATCACAAAATAGAACGGTGACTAACTCTATCTCTGCATTAGCATCTGAAGCCAATAATGCCTGTTAGCTAACATTGCTTTGTTTGGTTGAAATTGGACATAGCTGCAGGAACAGGAGGGGAATGTCTGAACTATATTTAAAGAAAGGGAAAGGATAAAATTCTCTCTTTTGTTGTTTTAAGGTTCTGCAGTTCATTCACATTTGAAGATATTTTTTATTTGAGTGGAAACACTGTCTTCAAGACAAACTTTTTTGTCGTTCCAAACTGAGAAAACTCTTTCATCTCTTTGTAGATGTTTCACAAATAAAGAATCCAGTAGTTCATTGTACATATCCAATGTGATAATCCAACTAAAACAAAGGGTACATAATCCAAACTACTGGGGTGGGGCAGTGATTTTGGCCAAGTGAGTAGCCATGTCATATCTGGCACAGCCCTGAATTTCCAAAGCAGTACAGAAGGATTTAGCCATGTGGCTCCCACTGCAATCCGTGGGGAACTGAACATTTAATCCTTTGGCACTTTGAAAACACAGGAGCTGGTGCCAGAGTATTTTATCTGCCCCGCTATAGTTAAAATAGATTTTGATGTTATTTGGGCTATTCTACTACAAAAATATGACCACAAAATGCTTTTTTTTTCTTTTTTCTTTTTTTTTTTTTGGTTCAAGAAAACATAGCAGGCTTTCTCAGGTATATAAAACTGTTAATTTTTAGATAAAAATACAAACTTCACCTTTACAAAAACACATATTTCTGTTGAATACACATAAAGCATAACATTTTACCAAAAATAAAGAACTTTAGGTTTTGTTCAAATATTTGCAGCAAGGTAGTTCCCATGCCACCATGACATTGTACAATGCAGATACAAGAATTTGTACATTTCACACAGCTCCAACATGTGAAATAAAAGTATCTGTTTACTGATAAGAATGACAATTGCTAACACAATATCACTAGTAGGCAACTGGCATAAGTCTTAAAGGAAAAAAAAGGATTTTTGCATGGATATCCTATGATTTGTTTACGCACATGTCTCTTTTTTTCTCTTTTTTTCTTTTTATGTAATGCTTTAAATTACGGGGGAGGTTGGGGAACATAAACCAAGAAACGTCTAGAAAATTATGCATAGGTATACCATTTTTATTTTAATACATCTCATTAGTTTGCATCCCACTAGGAGAAATACCATAATGTTTTGTGTTCTGCTTATTGTTATACCAGTCTTTTATATGTGTTATTGGCAAATGTAGTCCAAGAGATAATAAAAAGCTAGGCAAAGAGTAAAAAGAAAACTTAATAATCACTTTATGGTGTAAAAAAAAAAAAAAATCCACTTAAGGCTCCCCAGAAGGTTTTTTTGTATAGACTTTTAAAACACCACCAAGCAAGGATGTATTGTTCTATAGTGTTTGCGTGGCATTTGATCATTTCATACATTCCTGCTTTTTTTGTGCCTGAAGTCCATCAGTGTCCATCCATCTTCATCAAGAACGCAGGCACATTTCTTGACGTAAAGCACCGTTGACTGCTCTGACAGAAATCCACTATTCACTTAGATTTTTGTCATGTTTTTGAGTACTTTTGGTATCCTCCATTCATTCAACTGTCTTTTTTTCTTTTCTGTTTTTCTTTCTTTCATTTTTTTTCTTTTTTGGACAGGGAAGCTTCCTATTGTTTCACAGAGTGCTACAATACTTGCTTTGATGTCACATTAAACAAATGTACATTGTCTCTTTGTTCTCATTAAGTGTTCTTTTGAGCCAGTTTTTTCACACAGGAGAACAAATAAAGTATACAGTCAATAAGCACCATACATAGTAGGTTCAGGAATGTAACAAACCATGTACATCCATGTCCCAGAGAGAAGTTTTTTTTCTAGCTTATTTTCACCTTACATCTGCAGGAGAGAAAAAAGATACAATAACTCTATGATTAGAATCAAAGGTCCTATCCTCTAAGTAGATGACTTATAAAAAAAAAAACTGTTCTGCATGAAGAGTCACTAACCTGGGACAAGAAGTTCTAAATGCTGTTTTGATTGAGTTTACATGCTCACTTTTAAAGTTGAATTTTAGAAAATCTTTGCTTCTATCATACTACTCCCAATAAATACCTGTTAATCTGAAACAGGATATCAAGTTTAGCATTCTTTAGAAACGATACATCAGTATAAATGAAAACTGCCATTGGGAGTTTATGTGCAAAAATAGGTGCTTGAAATTAAATTCACCACCATCCAGGCATTAGGCACATACACTGCAAAATCCAAATCATTCCCGCTCCAAATACTAGAATCAATTGCAAGTGCTGCAGTTTACATAATTTCAAGTGATTAGGAAATGGAAATTCCATACTCAATTTGGAATGTGTATCGCCATCGTCGCACACTGCTAATATGCTGGCCAAAGGATTTCAGGCATTTTTGCATTGAGAGGGTGTTAATTTTTCACTACACTGAAAACTTCATGAATTTTGATGACTGTCATCACCCTACTGAGACTGAACAGACTAAAAAAAAAAAAATCTTAATTTTCTGGTGTAGTAACACAGGGCCCTGCAACACAAAAACATGGTATTTCTAAGCATCTTCCTTGTCAGGTAGGCAGATCGGACCATCTCAGGTGCATGTACAATCAATCCCAGTTCATGCCAAAACATGGGTTTGATGGTCATGCATATAATAGTATTTGCTGTATATACACTCAATGTTTTACAGCCAATGACTGGGAACACAAGAATTTGTAACCTGGCAATTCATTCATGCAGTATTATGTGATGCTTTGACCTCAGAAATCAATAATAATGAAACAAAAGCAGAGGCAATGGAACTTGAGATTTCAGAAGCTGAAGTATTAGCACCCTCCAAAAAAAAGAAACAAAAAAGGCAAGAAAAGGAAGTAGCTCAAGAATGTAAGATGCTGATGGTGATGTGGAGCTTAAAGGAAAAATACCAGCAGGTAGAATTATCAAAGCCAATCAAATCTTATCTCTTTGCAGCCTTGAGGTAGCAAGTGTCAAGATTTTGAACAGTGATTAAGTTGAAGTGATGATATTTGATTAAGTTTTCCAGTACTTGTGCTATTAGGGTGTTCAGCATATAGGTCCTACCTGAATATCAAATAGTTCCAGTAGGTTTTATGTTGGTTTTAACTTTTTTCGTTTCCGTTTTTTACCTGATTCCCTAGGCCTTCCTGTTAACATAAGGGCAGGGCTGGTAAAAAGCCCTAAGGTAATGCATTTCGTTGAACACTGAAGTAATAAATACTCAAACCGTTTACATTTCAAAGAAATCTCATTATCTTTTGCATTAAAGTAATAACTTTATAACGTTTGATTTGACATTCCGTTTACAAAGTAATTATACAAAAGTAAAGAAATAATAAACGAAGTTAGCATTGCAACGTCATTTCCAAGATCCATCTATAATTACTGTTACCATGCAGTATTCAACATTTGCTTTCAGCTCTGTAGTCAAGTTATTTTCAGCTCATCATCCACTTGCTGGTGCAAGTTTTGTTCCTATCAGTAATTAAATCCTAGAAATCTGTATTCTTCCATGACAATTCTACCCCATTTTTCACACACACCAGAAAGAAAAGTTTTCATCTTAAAATCTTAACTGCTTAGTCTTTGGCAATTAAAGACATTTTGGAAAACTGAAATTCATCTAATGAAAGGTTTTTTCCAAACAGAAAACATAGGAAAAAAATCGAACCATGCACACATGAAAATAACCATTTTAAATGTGGGTTTGTCTACTCATAACTCAACCCAGTTTCAGCTAAAACGCTCAGCTCAGATTATAAACTGATGTCCAACAAAATCACAGCAGAGGCCTAACTTTGCTTTTATACAAATTCTAATTCTTCTGCTCTGTACATAGCAACTGAAGTTTACGTTCACTTAGACCAGATTTATGTCTCCATGCTGGATGGAGACAGTACAGAAAACCCTTCCTTACCCAGCCACCTATGAATTCCATCACCTTTGGGCAGCTTTCCTCCTATATTTACTTGCTCTTCACTGACTCTAATTTTGGGGCTGGCTCTACTGCACCCCTAAATTCCTGGCAGAGGTGAAAGCAAACTTTTGAGGCTGCCTTCAACCAAAATCAGGAGGAAGGGAAGTGTCCTTTCTACTGTAGTGAGTTTCCTGAATATGTGTCAAGTTCTGCATTGATTGCACCCTAGTAAGAGGATCCAAGCTAACGATTTTAAGTGGTTTTATGAAAGTCACATTGAAAGTAAATACTTTTCCCCATAAATCTTTCCCCATGGTAATTTAAATGTTGGCTTGATAAAGCAAACTTACATTTAACGTGGCAACTGACAATAAATTCTGGACTATATATAAGTAAGAAAACAACAGGAACAGGCAGTGTTGTTTCAAAACTCCTTACTCCTGAATATTGAATTTATTGCTAAGTGCTTTACATTCATTTCATTAATATTTTCCCCAAGGTCAAGTAAATCTCAGCTTTAGACCTGTCTTCACAAAGTCTAAAGAAATTAGGCAACAGAGTTCACCAATAAGCTGGAACATGACAACCTTTAACTTAGTTAAGCAAGACCTGAATACTATCGGGCATTTACATTTATTTAAAGGCTAACCTAGTGAGAATTGATACACTGTAAACTTCAAATGCAAACTCTTTATCCAGCACAAACTGTCCCTAATTTTGCATCTTCAACACACAGAGAAGTAGCTGGGAGCTTCTCTACTGGGTTCACTGGAAGCAAAATTTGCTTTACATTCTTTACTAATATAAAAATAAGGTCCATATGAAATCAGCATTAATGCAAAAAAAAAAAAAAAGGGGGAAAACATACCAGTTTCTTCTTCTCTATAATAAAAGGGGGAAAACATACTAATGCAAAAAAAAAAAAAAAAGGGGGAAAACATACCAGTTTCTTCTTCTCTATAATCTGAATTAGTATTTGATGATGTACAGGTGCATTCCATATGCTCTTCTAATCTCACCAGAACTTCTTTTAATTTTGGCTTTTTTCTAACATATTCCACTTTTGCCACCTATAAAATACAACGAGGTATGTACTGAGACATTAACATAGTTATAGTTCAGAACTGAAGACAGGTGACTATAGACCTCTGTTTTAATGTAGCCAAACCCATATAAAATGTTAGCATACTAATCATCTTTTATCTTAATTGTGCATCGTGTAACTATTTATTGCACAGACTATTTGTTTATTCAAGTTCAGCAGTTTGAAACAATTTTCTTTTCCCCCAAGAGATAAAACGATTTCGCATTCATTTTGGTTTGAAGTTTTAAGCAACTCAGTTTTCATGTACATCACAATAAACTTCTATACAGATTCAAATCAGTGATTGTTCTTGTAGACTGCCACTTTTAGCATGATCTTCTGTACATGTTGACCACTGTTCTTAAGCTGAAGGCTAACAGTGAAGGCATTAGGTTAGTTTGTAATACATTTTACAATTTACAAGTTGGTGTCTCCAGAACCCTCTGAATGTAAAGTGCCCAACTCTTTACAGAACCAGGATCTGAGTATCAGCTTAGAAAGCAGCAATCTCAAGCCTACTCGCTTCTTGCAGTGACCTGGGACTTGTTTAGAGGAGTTCCCATGCACTGTTTTTAGGTCCAAGGGAAGTACCAATCGCAAACTGGATCCAGCCTTTGGCTTTATTGTGGATAGCTGGCAGGTACGCTATTTCTCTCCAGTCCATTCAACTGCTTCCAACTGCACTGCTCCACTTTGGACCAAAGCACTGGCATCCTTAAAAAAAAAAAGTCTGGAGGGAAGGTGAGGTTTGAGGAAGGAGCATGCTGGAGAAGCTCTGGCTACATGCAGGTCTCACATCTGAAGGAAACCAATGCAGAAGAGAAGGACGTTATGGTGGGGGGTATACTGAATATGAGGACATCCTGACCATCTTGGTGCCGGCAGCCAGGAGAGGAAGAAAGGTGCAGGAGGCAGGAACACTGCCATGCTGGAGCGCTGAAATGGGTTGCGGGATGCTGGACACAGACTTATGCTAAGTGTTAACGGGCATGATGGTCATGGCCATGCAAGGGAATACAGCATAATGTGGGCAAAGAGAGTGCTAGACAGCATGTAAGGGGTCCAATGTTTAGTTCACAATTGTGTTAAACACTGCATGAAGAGGTGGTAATCATTTACTTGAAATGGAAATCGCTAAAATGAAATCATGGCTTCTCAGTCCTACTAATGATTTATCTACCATTTGACAAAAGGAGGCTGCAATGTGGCTGTCCCAGCAAACAAGAAGACTACGTAGTACAGGTATGCATTACAAATCAGATAGATAAGGGATTAGAAGGACAAGAGAGGCTGGTTGTCTCTACAAAAGTTATATGACAAAGCTGTAAAGTCTGATCCAACCAAAAGCTCCAGTTACTACCAAATAAAGCATCCACAATTACACGAGACTCTCCTGGTAATGGTTTACTTGTGTATTTGGTGGGGATTTAATGCTCCAAATCAATCTTCACACTATGAAAATGATTCCCTGGCCCTCCCAAAAGTGGAACAACAGCGTCACAAAATGAGAGTGGTAGCTGGAAAAAAGCATCACATTCCCAGTTCCCAGAAACGCTCTTCTGGCTCTGTGGACACAAACTACCAAGGACCTCTGAATGACAGTAACAGAAGCTAGAGCAAAATCCTGGCGTTATTAAAGTCAATGGGAGATCTGCCATTGCTTTCATGGATCGAGGAGTTCAGATCCACGTTTTAGTCAACACCTCTTCTGTCAACAGGATCTGGAGATGATTTTCATTTACCCAGCAAACAAAAGTTGCAGGGAGACAGATGCAATAACTAAAGTGTCCACATTAAAAGGTATCTTCCAAGACTGCCAGATCTCCATATAAACAGATTAAGAACTGGCCGTGACATACAAGAATGCTTTTGCTGAAAGACTAACTATGGATCGGAGCAGTGTATTTCAAAATCTCCTATTGGAACCCAAGTCCATCAAGCCTTTGAACACAAAAATTTGAAAATGTATGGTACAACTGAGTCATCTGGCATCAAAGGATGACTAATCCTTAAAATTTACAAAAATAAACAGTAATTAAGACACCTCCACCATCAGAGACAAAGAAAGAGACCCAGCAATCATGAAACAGCTTTCAGATCTGCCATGCTTATTACAGCTGTTAGAATAAACCAGTCTTACTGAAAATTACGTGCAACAAAAATAAACTGTAATCAAGCTTTTTAAAGTCTGTCCTTGTTTTGCTTTGTTTTCCACACTGAAAGATACATGCAGTTCCTGTGGCTATTTGGTTTTAAACAACAGTAAAAAAAAAACAAAAGAAGGTAATACTTTGAAGAATAGGATCATAATGGATTTATGCAACAACTGAGAGCTGTTTTTTACTGTACTGTAGTTAAAATACAATCCAGCATATGTTCCACTGCCCCACTTCATGCTACACAAGTTAAAGGAATGTCGCTTTTTAAGATGTTGCAAATATTCAAACTGAAGCAGCACAAACCAGATAAATTGCTGTGCTTGTGTCATCTGTTAATACCTGCTGCCACACAGGATCTGTAATTAATGCTAATCTAAAACTATATGGGTTGCAGGTCAGGTTTTCAGTGGGTAAAACAGGGATAGCTATGCTAACAGCATGGGATTTGGCCTTGTGTTAGCATCTTTTTTCTTCTTTGTATTTTTCTCCCTGGTGTTTATCTCGTACAGTTACTCTCAGGCATATTACCAAATGCTTTGAGATGGTCAGTCCTCAACAAACCAACATCAGCTTCTTTTACTTGTCTCTAATGCAACAAAACTAAAAACCATGACAACCTCAAATCCTCCAAAACCACAAAATATCACTATATAAAAACTCTCTAAGAGAAAGACAGTGAAATAACTGACTAGTTTAGTTAAATGGCATATAACTGGTGGCACCATACTTGTATCAGTGTAGACTCTAGGCACTATCCTGCAGTGTGGTGTGGTGGCTAAGTAAAAATGAAAATAAAATCTGATAAAAATAGGTGGCCTAACGGAAACATCATGGCAACACCTTTTCTAGAGCTTCTCCAGGAGACATGAAATCAGGGAGTAAGAACAGGAAAAAAACAAGGTGCCAAGCAGAAGTGCCCAAAACACCTCTAGCACAAAGCCAAAATTTATCATGGGCAGGACCTTGCGAGAGAAGTCTCAGCGCAGAAAATTCCTCGTAACAGCAAAACTCATGTGGCTGATAACTAAATACAGGATGGGAAATAAAACCAAAAAACAACTGAATGAGGATGCTTTTTGAAAGCATCTATTTCCTCAGTATTAAAATAAATGTGTGCTGATACAACGAAGGGAAAACCTCCCTTCACCTTGCAACTGTGATCTTTACAGCCCTCAGGTCTGCGAGGAAGACATAAGTCAACAGGGCATAAAGGCACCAGAAGGACTGAGCAGGGATCGGGGATCCTGTGGGGCCTGGCAAGTCAGTGAGCATTTTGCAGGACTGGAGCCACGGCTCCAGGGACAGGACGGCAGCACTGACGCGGTGCCTTCCAGGACACACCACGGCAGCTGCGCGCGCCTCCCCAGCGCAGGCAGGATGGGAAGCAGTGGGGATGCCAGCCACCTCAGAGCCTGGCAGCCACCCATCCTAAAATAGCCACTAAAGACATTTACAGGGCACTCCTCAGGCAAAACCCCTACCTAACAAAAGCCTTGTGCACAGTTACTTAGGATGGGGTAGGCAGAATTTTCCCTGCAGGGAAGCGAGGCCCAGGGGCGCGCTGTCCTTTTACCGCACAAGGGGGGGCGGCCCCGCCACAG